GTAATTGGCTTTGTCTACTCGAGCTGCTCTTTGAAATTTTGGGGTACTCCAGAAATTTTTATTGTATCAGGTTCAGGAGAAATTAACAGGTTGGGAGGTATATTTTCCAGGCTTTAAATAAAGCTCTTTAAGTATGCTTAAATATATACTTTTTATAAACTTTTAATAACTTAAAATAGTATCATGGTCTATTTTATGTGCAGTTTATCAAGATAGGATGCTTATATAACATCACTAAGAGCTGAAAATACAAACCAGAATGTGGCTTGAGTCTTATCTCCCTTCTTCTGAAGTTACTGTATTTTTCAAATATATGTTAAAGGGTCCTTGATAACTAACACTTACATTATGTCTTTTCAAACAGCTCTTCTCCCACTGACAGGAAAGAACCTGATGTGCCTGTGTTCCTTCCGAATTCCCTGTTGACAGAGAGTGTAAGCATGTGCTTACAGACTGGACCAACAGAGGGTGCTAGTAGCGACTCTGTGACATCAGGGCAACCCTTGACTCATCAACCATCAGACAGCCAGAAAATTTATCAGGATTTGTTGGTAAAAAAAATTGTAGAGCATTTCATCTTCTTGAGATATTTAGTATGGGGCACTTTCCTAGATTGAAACTGTTTGGGATCTTGAGATGAAAAAATTTATGCCTTACTAACAACATATAATTTATTTCTTTTAACTATTCATAAATTATGATAAATTTAGTAATTTATTGTAAGTCTGTCAGTCATCAGATACTTAGCCAGAATAAAAAACCTTATTTTTCAGGTGTAACCAAAACCAACAACTCACTGCCATTGAGTTGATTTGACTCATAGCAACCCCTCCTTGGATTTCTGAGGCAGTATCTGATAGCGTAGTGCCTAAGGCACTTGACTGCTAACCAGAAGGCTGGTGGTTCAAACCCACCAACCACTCCTCGTAAGGAAGGTTGGGCAGTCTTCTTCCGTAGTGATACTGCCTCGGAAATCCAAGGAGGGGTTGCTATGAGTCAGGTCCAACTCAATGGCACATAACAACAACAACAACAAAACAGGCTTCTTTTACAGAAACTTTATAATACTTGCAAATGTACTTGATACTTGTACGATTTGGCAAGATGCTATTATTTTGCTTTTTCCTAGCCTTTCTTCTGTTATTTATTTTTCTAAGATTGTTAAAAATGATGTTTCACATGTGTCCTTTTTATTTTTATTAGGGTCAAGTGAACCACCTTTTAAATAACTCTTGCAAAGAAGCAGAACAACCATCTACCAAAGCAGTATTTATCAGCCATGAATGTACCAGGACTCAAAATGTTTACCATACAAAGAAAAAAAAACATGATTTAGGATTGGTGGACAAAGATTGTGTTCTTAATGCAACCCTTAAGCAACTAAGAAGCCTTGGAGTGAAAATTGATTCTCCTACTAAAGTTAAGAAAAATTCACATAAGGTGGATCATGCCAGGTAGCTTTTTTTGAATCTGTTTTAAAAGATAAATATATTTTGGACATATTGCAGCAGTCTCATGAGAAAAGGTATATTTATTTCAATTCAATTGATTCATCATTTATTCAGGGTTTACTATATGGCTGATGAGTAAGAAATCATCTCTACCATTTAGATTCTTCATTTTAGAAGGAGAGAGGGATACATACATAAGTAATTTGAGAGATATTATGGGATGTCTCCTGAGTAGACATGCCAACAAAATGCTTTGGGGATTTTGTGGAAAGAAATTAATTTTTACTGGTGGTGTCTAAAAAGTCTTCTTGGAGGTGAAAGGGTTTGTGCTGGATATAGAGTTACGTAGTTTTACCATCTAAAAGGCAAAAATACTCCTTTTTCTAGAAATATATTTCAAAGAGTAAAGTGGGTTTAGTTTTTTTTTCCCTTCAGATCTCTCATCATCAAAGATGACCTCAGCACGTACTTGTTAAAAAAAAAAAAAAAGGCTACAATCTGGAGGTTGTATTATAAAAGCTGGCATGTTTCCTGTTAATTACTTATTGCTGTTTTCTAATTACAAAAAATAATGAAATCCTCCCACTAAAACAGTGGCTAAGGCAGGGGAGAAAAGACTCCTGTTCTGCTTTCCTATTCCAGACACTGCAGAAATTAAGAGTCTAAGAAGGAGGCATAGGAAAAAAAAAGAGTCTTAGACATACCAAGAAATGGTAGGGGAGGTGGAAATCGTGGATTTGAGGAACGGCAACAGTCTGCAGGCAGGCTCTCAACTGGAGTGACCTGTGAACACAAAACATGTCTTAAAAACAGTCCCTCTGGTTGCTTCTTTGCCTTGCTTCCTGGCTCTCTGCTTATTGGTTGAAAAACTCTATATAGGAGATCACTAATCTGGGTTCTAAGGGAACAGTGAGTCAAGGTTGGTTTTCGTCTTTGAGTCAGAATTGTTGAGCTTCTCTGAAGTGTTAGCGTGCGGCACTCCTGTTTATGTTCTTGCATCATCCTGTTATGACTGTACATCTAATGAGATTCTAACATGGTTTATTTGTGCTCAGGCATTTTAGTATTTGATTAGTGGAATGGCCTTTTTGCTTTTCATCTTAATTGCCCTGGTGTTAATATGCTTTGGCTCTGAGTATTATTAATTTGTTTTGCCTTCAAAATAATAGTCACACCCTCCCCCAAATTAAAACTAACTACAGATAATGAAACTTGAAGAATCTTCTAAACTAATATTGACTGCTTATAGATCCTTTAACCATTCTATAAAAGAAGATATAGTTAAAATTAAACCTTGTTTTTGCTTTTGTCAGCCTAAGGCACTTGACTGCTAACAAGAAGGCTGGCTGTTCAAACCCACCAGCCACTCCTCGGAAGGAAGGTTGGGCAATCTACTTCCGTAGTGATACTGCCTCGGAAACCCAAGGAGGGGTCACTATAAGTCGGCATATAACAACATAACGACAACAACATTTTTTTACCTTAGAATTATTTATAATTATTATACTTGTAATTATTTTAATTAGAGCATCCTGATGGCTCAGGTAGTTAAGTGTTGGACTAATAACTGAAAGGTTGGTAGTTTGAACCCACCAGCTGCTCCACGGGATAAAGTTGAACCAGTCTGCTTCCATAACAATTTATAGCCTTGGAAACGCCATAGGTAGTTCTACTCTGTCCTATAGGGTCACTGTGAGTCAGAATTGACTCAGTGGCAGTGGGTTTGGTTTTGGTTAATTACTTAAATATATGTAAGTTTTTTGAGTTGATATGCATATGATTTTGAGACAATAAGATAATAAACATGATAAAAAGTAGAAAAAACTATATATTTAGAAGTTATCAATCACCACTATGAATATATCATAAAGGAATAGTGTCTAGATAAATTGGTAGTATCTCTTCCATCTTACTAAAATATAGACTCCAAAGCATTAAGTATCCAGAAGGTTAAAGGAGAATTCCAAGGAGGTTAATAAAGATCAGCATTATTAAACACCCTGTTCATTGTTTAGTGATATCATTGGTGTCCGGGAATATTAGTGGTTGGGAATAGTTCTTCTTTAAAATTTCTTACGAGAATGGAAATACTTGGTAGTCATGTGGGTTTTGAAGAGTAGGGATACAGTGACAGGCATATATAAAACAGCTGGATTTTTTCAAGGGATATAGAAAGTCATAGCATATTCTGTTTTGACTAGAATATAATATTTGCCACAACAAATAGTACACAAAGGACTCTAATTTCTTAGGGAACATAAAAACTGATAGCAAAATATAAGGTATTGAATATAGTGTAGTGAAACAGTGATTTATAGAGCTCTCAAATAAGGCAGCCTTTGTTCGATTCTCAGCTTGCCACTTACTAGCTCTTCAGGTGGTAGTTTGGAGAAGTTAGTTAAAATGTCCATTGCTCAGTTTTCTCAAAAACTATTATCTATAAAATTAAGCTAATAAAAGTTTCTGCTTCTTTTACTCATCCAGTAAATATTTACTGAGTGCCTACTATGTGTTAGGCACCTTTCTGGGCACCAAGAAAACTATAATGGGAATTAGAGGGAGCAGACAAAAATCCCTGCCCTTGTACATTCATAAGGGAGCCAGACAATAAAAAAGTAATGTGAGTTACATATAGTAAGTTGGTGGTGGTTGTTATTTGCCATCGCCCCTCCGTGGGTTTCCGAGGCAGTATCACTACGGAAGTAGATTGCCCCATCTTCCTTCTGAGGAGTGGCTGGTGGGTTTGAACTACCAGCCTTCTGGTTAGCAGTCAAGAACTACCAGAGCTCCTATATAGTAGGTTAGACAGTGATAAATACTAAAGTACTCTGGAGAGAACAGAAAAATAGGGGAAGGGCAATGTGCAGTATTAGAGTATAGAATAAGGTTGAAATATGAGAGAGGGAAGATTTAATGGAGAAGGGTTTCAGTGAGGATTAAATAAGATAATGCATAGAAAGCATTTATGCAGAGTGCCTGGCACATCATAAGGCCTCAGTAAGAATTAAACAGCTATTACTATTGTGTATAGAGTCCTTGGGTTGAACAGATGGTTAAGTGCTTGGCTATTGACCAAAAGACTAGCAGTTCAAATCCATCCAGAGGCACCTCAGAAGACAGATCACACCCATTGAAAACCCTATGGGGCACAGTTCTACTCTGAAACACATGGGATCATCATGAGTTAAAATCAACTTGATATCAACTGGTTTCGATTTTTTCTTTATTACTGTATACCTAAAAATAAAGGAAAAAGGCAATTCAACAGAGTTCACACTGACCAAAGTTAGTTAAAGATTGTATCTAATGAAAGCAAGTTAGTCTGTATATATGGTAGCCCATATCCAGAGACTGGTGTTTGTTTTTTATTCGCTGCAAATCAAAACAAGAACTCAACTTTGAACACTTTAATTTTCGGATCTACTCACTAAAGCTTGTACTATTAAATCATCAAATGTGTTTTCTATTTTTATGTTTTAGTTTAGGTTGGACATTAGCTGATCTCATGCTGTTTTGGGCTAGTTGTAAATTAAATGCCTCACAGCAATATTGAATATATCTTACATTCAAGGCTTTGTGTTTAGTCTTAAAACTATGACTAATGTATAAATTTAGGAAAATTAATTTATATTCCACTTTCAATCTGCAAATCAACAATTCCCTTTTAGGTTATCATATGCATCCCTTGAATGTGTATGTTTGTGTATTCAGATAAAAAGCACTATGATACTTAAAACTGAAAACATTTTATTACTTTGAGACTGGAACACATTTAGATTAATACTGTTTAGTACTCAAAATAAGGTAAATGGTGGTTTCCTGCTTTTTGTTTTTCAGTGTGCTGGCGCGCATCAGCCCTGAAGCTGTGATTTCTGGATTAAACTACATGTCATTTGCTAATGTTGGCATGAGTGGTTTAAGCCCCAATGGTGCGGATCTGAGCATGGAGGCAAATGCTATCGCTCTGAAATATTTAAATGAAAATCAGCTCTCTCAGCTTTCTTTCACTCGCTCAAACCAAAATAACTGTGACTCATCTTTTAGCCTTTTACATATTAATACAGACAGAAGCACAGTGGGACTTAGTTTAATTTCCCCAAACAACATGTCATTTGCAACCAAGAAATATATGAAGAGGTATGGACTCATACAAAGCAGTGATAATAGTGAAGATGAAGAGGAGCCTCTGAATGACACAGATAGCACGAGTAAACATTTAAACCCTACGCCCATACCTGAACAACTTGCTTGTCAGAAAGAGCCTTCTAGAAATGCCTGTGAAGTAATCAATTGCTGTAACTCTGAATCTGTGGATACTCACCCAGATGTGCCAGTACTGAGAAATATTACAAACAAGGTAGTTCAACCAAAGGCAGCACAGCAGTTGCGTGATAATCCAGCTTTCTTATTAAAGAATTTTAAAGTAAGTCCTGTGGTGAACCTCCGAACTGGTAAAGCAGAGTTTACCCAACATCCTGAGAAAGAAAATAAAAAGGACATTCCAGTTTTTCCTGAAAGTTTGCAACATTCTGAAACTCTAAAGCAGATGAATAGCATGAATTCAGTAGGCACCTTCTTAGATGTAAAACGCCTCAGGCAGTTGCCAAAATTATTTTAAACCTGTAACTCAGTGTCCTCCTGATACGGGTGCAGAAGGGACAGAATGTCTCCTGAAGATATTTAGGGAAGCCAGAGCCTTTTGGAATTTAGTCATTCTAGAGGTCAATCTATTTCTTGGTAGCAGCTGACTACAAAGAACCAAACAAATGACCTGGTTGTCTATGAGGTGACTGGCTCTAGTGGCAGGGCTGAGTTCTTGGCCAGATAGAGCTGTTCTAGTCACTGAAACTTAACAACAAACAAAAAACCGTTAGATCAGTTATTAAAACAAATTTGGGCAAACAGACAGTGTCCAACTCAGAATCTAAGTAGCCATTTTATCCTGTATATTTTAAAAAGTAAATTTGTTTCCCAGCATGTTGCACTTCTGCATATACCCAGTATCACCTAAAAGAAAAGAAAGTTATGACTCTGACTAAATTAGGGTCAACTCAACCCTTATTAAGTGGAAAGTTTATTGGGTTTTTTTTTTTTTTAAATCTTTTATACAAAGAATATACTTCCTCTTAATTAAGATGTGTATTTTTTAAACTATGGAAGTAAAACTTTTGCAGTCTGTGGGTTAATGTAATATCCTCAACATATAGCACAAGTTATCACAGAATAAAATTACTGGGTATGAGTGTTTTATAAACTTTGTGAGTTTTCCAAATGTTTTGATATTTTTAAATAGAACGTAATAAAAATGTCTAGATTATTTTCCTTTGTCTTCTACTATAGTGTGTTGTTGTTGTTGTTGTTATGTGCCATCGAGTCAGACCCGACTCATAGCAACCCCTCCTTGGGTTTCCGAGGCATTACCACTACGGAAGTAGATTGCCCCATCTTCCTTCCGAGGAGTGGCTGATGGGTTTGAACCACCAGCCTTCTGGTTAGCAGTCAAGTGCCTTAGGCACTATGCTACCAGAGCTCCCTCTACTATAGTATATCCTTCCCATTTTTCTTTTTTGAACTTTTTAAAATTCACAAGAAGTTATACATACAGAGAATTCATGTGTACACTTTACCCAATATTGCTGACATATTACATACAGTAAGTTCTGAAAGCCAAGAAATTGACATTGGTACAATAGTAGGAACTAAAGTACAGATCTTTGGGATTTTACTAATTTTCATCATGTGCTCATTTTTTTACATTTGCATTTGGTATATAGTTCTATGAAAATGTATCATTTATTGTAGATGCATGTAACCACTACCCCAGTCAGAACACAGAACTGTTCCATCACTACAAAGAGAAACCAGTGCTACTCCTTTAAAATTACCCCTCTCTCCAATCCTAATCCCTGATGACCAATGATCTGTTCTTTGTTATTTTGAGAGTGTTACATACTATATCAATATAATACATACTGTGTGGAATCATGTAATTTTTAAATAGTCTTTTTTCATCCAGCATATGTCCTGGAGACCCATCCAAGTTGTTCCATGTATCAGTAGTTCATTCCTTTTATCCCCACCTTTTTAAAAATTAAGCTTTAAAGTGTTTCTGAATATAAGTGAAAAAGTCCCCATTCACTTGAGAGAGAAAGCATTTCTACTGAAGTTAAGATGTCATTGCTTACATCAAAGTTTGGTATGTCAACTTGAAAGAAATGGATTTTGGCTCTCTAAATACTTTTCCAACCAAGCTGTTACTTTCTGGGGCAATCTGATAAAGCAGAATTCATAGGTAGCAAGCTGAAGTGGCTTTCTACTGTTCCCACCACAGGGGCCATTCAATTAATGCCTCCTTCCCTGTGTTGCGCTTTAGGTTAAAATTAAGACATGTAAATAGGAATGGAGATGATTCTTTGTCCCTGATGTTTCTGTGGTCATTGTTTAGGGCTTTAGTTATTTTAATAAATGGCTTAAAAATCTTATAGACTTTAACAGATGACATTTTTTCCTTTTTTACAATAAGACTTTCTTAGAGCCGTTTTAGCTTTATAGAAAAATTGTGCAGAAATTACAAGAGTTCCCATTTCAAGAGAGTAAATTTTTAAGTAACAAATGTCAAGTGTGCTGTTTAATCCATAGAATTTTACCCAAGAAGTTAACGTTGGTACAATTTTTATTGCGCACTGTTGAAAAAAACAGAATATTAGTTAACTGACAGCTTCATCAACTCTGCCTTTATCATTGGGAACCCTGCAATTTTCACACCAAACAAGACACTCTGAGCCATGCAAACTGAACCGGAGGCTATTTAGGAAAAAGCTAATTCTAGCACATCTGTTCTACATCTAATTTAAGACTTCTGGAAGGAATTGAAGAGGTTTTAGGGACTGAATTTAGATTGCAGGTTATTTCAACAAAAAGTCTTTCTACTAAATATATGTCCAAAGGGGAGACACCATGGCTGAAACCTACTCTAGAAACTTCTCTAAGAAGAATGTTTTGCTATGGGGAATTATTTGGCAAATTACTTGGTATGAATGATAGCTTTTAGGCATCTTTAGAAAACAGTACTGGAAATTTAGATTAAGAGGTTTTCGAGATACTTGCTTCTCAACTGACATTTCTCTGAACTTTTTTTTTCCATCCAGTTCCACAGCATAGTTTATAAGCTACATAGATGCTACTACTACAAATGGCATAGGGAGATGGAGCGTCTATCATCCAGCTTCTGGGAAACAAACCCCATTAAGCTGGCAGGAGCTCTGGTAGCATAGTGCCTAAGGCACTTGACTGCTAACCAGAAGGCTGGCAGTTCAAACCCACCAGCCACTCCTCAGAAGGAAGATGGGGCAATCTACTTCCATAGTGATACTGCCTGGGAAACCTAAGGAGGCATCACTATGAGTCGGGTCCGACTCCACAGTACATAACAACAACAACAACAACAACCTGTTGGGAACACCTTCCCTTCATTCTCAACCCCATTTTATCAAACCTCACATCACTCAGCCTGTAAGCCCCATACTAGTTAATTGGAATCAACAATTACTTCAGACTCACTTGTCCTGCCCTACACTGCTGTCCTATGCTGTACCTCACAGAAGCAGGTTATAGACGTGTCAGACATCAGCCCTGCCCTTTGCTAGCTAGAAAGACCAGGGAAATCATAGATACACCCTGAAACAGTCATACTACAGTATGAGGCAGTTTATGATGAAAAGCCAAAATGAGTGATCCAGACTGGAAAGAGAACCGTGTCTTCTTGTCTGTCTTGTACTTCCCATGTGCTCATAGGTCACTGTGCTAAGTAAGCTCTCCACATTCATTTCAGGCTCCTGCCACACAGGTGGTGAGTGCTAAACCTCAGATGAGGGAGCAGCCTAAAGGAAGTAACTAACCTAAATAAGATTCAAACTCCAGTGTAACTCCAGAGTTCAAGCTCATTAAATCATTGAGAAATAGAGCTTCTCCAAGGCCTGAGGAAGTTGGAGAAAGCTTCCTGTAAGAGATAGATGTTGAGCTGAATGAATGATTTCAAATACAGATAGTCCCCAATTTAACAAAAGAGTTGTCTGTCTGATGACTCCGTTCTGAGTCAGTTCTGACTTAAGTTGAATACCTAATTATTATTTTAGTTTTCATTATTTTATTTTATTATCTCTATCTATAATCTAATCTTTATTTGTCTTTAGGAGTTGGAAACATTGCATAAAAATCTTACAGATATATTTTAGTACCTACATATATACACAAATCATAAAAATTACTCCAACAATGGAGTTGGACAATGGCACTTTGTCATTTGTAATAACTCCACTTGTGGAAGGTTCTGAATCTTCTGGGTTATCCCTAGAAATGGGGATGGCGTTTCTAGTCAGAAAATTAGTGAGGGTTGCCAGCAGGGTCCTTTTTATTTTTTATATTTTGCTGTAACATCTCACTGCTTCCTGAAACTGCCTATTGACTTT